GGTGGCGTTTTACTGCACGGAAAGCAATTATGTAAATACAATACACTCTAGTGTGTTAGAGCTTATTTGACAATGTTTTTAAAATGATTAAAAATGTTTTTGGTAAAATTAATTTTGGGAAGTGTATTCAATTGAAATTTTGAAGGATTTTAATTCTTTTAATGAATTTAGGGGTATTCATTCAGGATTTTAAGTGATTTTCTGAAATTCAAGGTGTATTCAATTATAATTTTAAGATAGTTTATTAAAATCCTTAGAAATTCGGGTGTATTCAATTAGGATTTTAAATAAGTTTATAACATTCCAGATGTATTCAATTAGAAATTTATTTTAAAAAAATTAAGAGAGTTGAGTTGAGGAATTTGAGAGAATTTGAGAGATTTCGTAGTGTATTTTAAGCATCCACAAATCTCAATTATCCTCATGAGATTTCGAAGGAATTGAATCAAAATTTTATATGAAATATCTACAAATCAATTAAACTCTATAAAAATCCATGAATTTATAAATTCATTAAAGTCCCTCAAATTCTCAACTGAATACATCTCATTCGGTTTTCAAAAGCACTTTAAGGTTTTAAGTTTTATTCCTCTTGGAGTGAAGCACGATACTACAGTGGATGGTTTGTTGGTAGATGAGGGGTGTGTCCAATGGAATGGGGATTTAATTAAGTGCATGTTCTACGAGGAAGAGGCAAAGCTGATTCTGAGCATTCCCTTGAGTTATTTCAAGCCACCATAGCAGTTAGGTTGGGTTGCAGAGAAGGATGGAATGTTTTTGACAAAAAGTGCTTACTTGGTGGCTCGGTCGGGTGGAAATATAAGTGGGGATGAAACCACTAGTTCTGAAATGAATGGGGGGTTTGAAACATATGCGTATGGCAGTGCTGTCTAAATGCCTTACCAACTAGAGAAAATTTGATGAGAAGAAAGGTGATCACAACTGCTACTTGTCATTTTTTGTGATGGATAAACGGAAAGTGTTGAACATGCGTTATTGGAATGCCCTAGATTAGCGTCTATCTGATTTTCTAGCCCATTATGTTTGAGGACAGAAAGACAATTCCATGGTAGTTTCCGTATGTGGCTGGTAGAGGTGGCGGGATTACTTGCCTGTCAAAGCTTTGACTCAGTTTTGATATTGATATGGAATATCTGGAAGGAACGTAACTCTTTTTTATGGAATGGGAAGGCATTGAATTAGGTGGATATTATTTGTAAGTCCCACGCATGGTTGCAGGAATTTAGGAAATGACATAGTCCTAAAAAGGGCAGCTAACAGACCACCCCTCAAAAATAGGAGAAACCTAGTGTGGGCTGGTTTAAATGTAACTTCGATGGCGCATGAGACGAGCTAGGTGAGTTATAGGGTATTACTGTGGTGATTCAGCTACAACTATGCATTTCAGAGGGGTCAGCTCGGCAGTTTTGGCTGAGATCATGGCTGCTCGGGCAGCAGTTCTTTTTGCTTGTAACCTGGGAGTAATGTAGTTGGAAGTGCATGGGGATGTAATGTTGGTTATCAATGTTTTGCAAAGTGACACGGCAGCTCTAAGCAATGGTACGTTTGGTAATATTTTGAATTATGCTAGTTAAATGTTGAAGTCTTTTCTGAATTGGAAGGCCACATTTGGTCGACGTGAGACGAGCAAGATTGCATATCGGCTCGTGAGATTGGGCTTAATGAGGGATACTCAAGTTTTATGGTTTGAAGAACCTTCTAATCTCTGATTTGCTTTTTGAAGATAGAATTATTATTTAATTTAGAGGTGTAGTGCATTATTTTTCCCTTGAACCAGGTTGAAATCCCTGGCAAGGTTTTTATTGAGGCCCATTGCTAGCTCCATATCCTTGTTGCTTGTACGGTTTCTTTCTCATTTATGGAATATTGTACTTCTTTCAAAAAAAATAAAAAATAAATAAATGTTGCTTCTTGCATGAAATAATTCAAATGTTTTTCCATAATTCACTTGAATATGATTGATTTCAAAATCATTTTTAATAAAAACGCTTTCAGTCATCTTAAAAACACTTCCAAATAAGCCTTTAGATATTCACTAAATTCTATTTAACCCAATTGGTCCTTCAACTTTAACCCAATTGGAGTAATGATCTCTTAACTAAAAATCTATTACCATGCAATGGTCCCTCAACTCATCAAAATGTCCAGTTATGATCATTTTTGTCAACTCCATTAGAATTTATGTCAAAATGAGTTACGTGCCGTATATGTGAGGCTAAATCAACGTTCAAATATGGAAAATCAAATAAGAAAAAATTGTATTAATGATCTCTAAACTTTAATTCAACTAGAGAAATTGTCCCTCAAGTTTAACTCAATTAGAGCAATGGTCCTTTAACTTTAACCTAATTGTAGTAATAGTCCTTCAAACGTAACTTATTTTGACATAATTTTGACATAGTTGGCGAAAAAGATCATAACGGCACATTTTGATGAGTTGAGGGACCATTGTTCAAATTTGATTAAAATTGAGGGACCATTACTACAATTTACTCAATTTTTTTTAGATTAGTAACAACTTTTCTCATTCAATAGTTTTACTTAAAATTTTAGTCCAAAATTAAAAAAATTGATTTTAAGCAAACTTTTTGGTAACTTCATAATTTTTTTTATGTAGATTATCTTAATTTATTTGTTAGACATTTTAACATAAAAATATTTAAATAATAAAAAATCATTAAACCTACCTTATTATTACACATATGCACCATATGAAAGAACATAAAAAACCCCACAACCAGTGGCGAAGCCAGAATTTCTCGGGGGGAAGGGCGAACTTAAAATAGTGCAAGGTTAAAGAAAAATGGTAACAGCTAAATCTTTTTATATAGTAATGTCTTTCATAATTAATCAATACAAACAAATTACAATTGTTGACGGCGAGGTTTCATGTCATGAAAACGTCGCATAATATGCTCATTATCAATAAAAGTAAATACATCTCTCTCAATGTAAACAAGCATGCTATCACTCAACCATTGATCTCCCATTTTGTTATGTAATGGTGTTTTCACAATCTTCATAGCAGAAAAAGCTCTTTTCATAGCACAAAATGGCGACACCCTCAATTCCCTTTGCAACGGTTACAAAAGCTAGTTGAAGTTGGTGTGCAAAACAATGAACATAAAATGCTTAAGGATACTTGTTCAAAATCTTTGTTGTAAGGCCATTTAGCTCACCTTTCATATTATTAGCTCCATCATAGCTTTGTCCCTGTAACTTGGACATACTAGCTCCACGTTTGATAAGATTATTTTCGTTTGGCTAGCCTAACCTAAGAATAATTTACGGAAGTTGGAGATCTTTTGCAGAAAGCTAAAACTTCGACGTTGTCCAAAAATTTGACTCATCCAAAGCAAGATTAAAAAGCCACTCAGACTTAGTACCACGATCTAAGTGAGAGGCCTTAAGTTTGATGAGAGTAAAACAATTATAAAAAAAAGGTCAAATCCAAGAGAAAATGTAATCACTGAATAGTATGATAAATATGTTTGCTAGTGACAATTGCTGCACTAAATTTTCCAACTCAATCATTGTATATTCACAAAGTTGAAGTACATTTGTTCTTCTAATATGATAACCAAAACTTGTTAGCCTTACATCAGTCCCGGAGTAAAAGAAGTTGATGATTTCGAATAACGTTCAAGGAGTGACAATGGCGACCATCCTCATGGATGTTCGTGCTAGTTAGACCAGCAATATTTAATCTAGCTGCTGATTCATACACATCAACCATTTCCTTCGACATGAAACCTTTTCGAGGAGACTCAATGCATCTTCTTGTAGAGAATCTGTTCCCCAAGACAAGATCTCCAACATTGGCTTTATGGCATCAGCCTCATGCAAGACGCTGGCTCCTCTTTAAGGAGAGGCTTTGACAACCAATGTCGAAAAAGTTTAAATTGCTTCGATGGCAGTTTCATACACTTCTCCCGATAACAGCCTCACCAAGTCAGGCAAAGCTTTTGCTTCCAAAAGACAGAATATGGAAGTCACACTGCAGATACCACCGTGCGTTGAGCATAGTGGAGCGTTCGATGGCTTGAAACAGGACCAGCAACCGGTGGGTTTGGAGACAGTGGTGAGCTTTGGAGACAGTGGTCCCCTCTATACATATTTTTTTTCTTTTCCCCACTTATACGAAACGGCACGGTTTCTTTTCCCCATTTATACGAAACAGCACTTGGGTGTTTTGAAAAAAAATTCAACAGAGCAGAACTGCAGCACCGGCGCTGTACCAGATGAGACGAAGAGCAGCAGCAGGAGGGGAGGGGCGGGCCAGCGCTCCAGCCTTGTTTTTCCGGCGAGGGGAGTGGCGGCCGCCACTCCTCGCCCTCACGTGGCTTCGCCACTGCCCACAACCAACCCAATTCTTAAACAGAAATACATAGATGGGTAGAAAGAAAAAGGAATAATTGTTTGACGATAATTGATTTTGTGTGAATGTTTGAACAAATACATTGGAATTTATAGAGTTTTTTTAGTGAATTTTGATTAAAATAAAATTTTAAACTATGTCCAATTTTGGGTTGTAGATTTTTGTTTTACCATTAGATTTGATCGTCTCAATCATTGGATTTAATGTATTTATAAATTTGATTTTTGAAGAATGGAATATAGAACGTTGGTTTAACTAACTATACAACCACGTGGGCTCTCCAATAAAAAAATAATTGCTGGTTTTTTTGCAACAACATTAGCAACTGGTTCCACAACTTGGCTCATTTTCTGGAATAATTTGGTATAAAATAAGTTTTAACCAAAAAAATTCTTTGAGCCAAATGATTGGAGAAGTTTGAGCGAGTTTAAAACTTAAATTTGGTTTGATATGTTTTTAAAATATAATTTTTTGTTTTTAAAACAATAAATATTAAATAATTTAGCTAAATTAATCTTTTTTAAAACAAAAAATATTGTATCCAAGAACTATGCCTAAATAATTGGATTAAAAAATAAGGCGTGGTTTGGATACCAAATTATTCCAGGTGGGGGGATGATATTGCGGATCTGGGGTCGAGTGCCTTATACAGGTATATAAAAGCCCCTTCCCTTCCACACAAACTCTCTCCTCCACCATCCCCTACAATATACCACCTTACTGACTCACTGAGCTCGTCGTCTCCGGCCGCCGCAAACCGCCGGTAAGCTTCTCTCTCGTCTTCTGTTTTCTTCCCATGCGATTCAACTCGTTTCAATTTCCCCGTTTTCAGTTTATGCTTCTCGTTTTTGTTTGGCTATTTGTTTGTGATAGAATATTTGAGAAGCGTTGGATCGTTTGATGAACTGATATGTTATGGATTGTTGATAGTTTTGTTAAACGGGGTAGCTTTTAGTTTGGCAATGTCGCTAGGGTTAGTGTTTATCATGGATTGAGTTGTTTCTGTTACTGATTTCTGATTGGCAGCTAGGGTTTCCTTTTCTGTTGGGTTGCACGACGTATTTGTTTAATTTCTTTTGTGGTGTATGTATATAATGTGTACTGTGTTTTGTAATTTTTTATTATATAATCTTGGAATTTCATTTTTGTTTCTTGTTATATTTGGATATAAGTAAGCAGTGACACTTTTTCGAGTTCGCTGCGCACAGCACCCCTTCATATAGCATTGCCGAAATGGCGAACTTAGCAATGACCGGTATACTGGAGAAGGTATGTTCCTTTGAAGCTTGTGTTTCCTTGATAGACACTAATTTGTTTCTAGGAGCATGTTTGTTGGTGAAAGGAAGATGAATTCTCACCTGTTGTTTCAGCTAGCAGTACGTGTGATATGTTTTGATTTGTTTGAGTTTGTTTTGCAGATGACGGGCAAGGATAAGGATTTCAGATATATGGCTACTTCTGATTTACTGAACGAATTAAACAAAGATAGTTTTAAAGCTGATTCTGATCTGGAGATAAAGTTGACAAGTATTATTATACAGCAACTTGATGATGTTGCTGGTGATGTATCTGGATTGGCCGTGAAATGGTATGGAATTTTTGTATGATTTTACCTATTACACAAACAGAGTTGATTTTCCTCTTATCTGTTGGTTACACCATGCTTTAATTCAATTCACTGTTCACTGTTGTCATTGCTGTGCAAGTATGGTTCTGACTAGTGTTTGCAAATGATTATACAACTGTTATTGGTGGATTTTAATAAAGAATTTTACAAACTTATAAAGCTTTCTTAGTTCTTTGCTAGTAAAGTAACCTTTGCATAAGTTTTAGATATATTGTCACAGTTTGTAGGTTGATTAATAGAATGTTATGGAAGTCTCTGCAGAAGTTTCAGCCATGGATGCTTTCAAGTATCATGTCCTCAATTATCAAACTCACATCTCCAAATGGAAGTGTCCTAATAATCATAAAAAAAACTAGTCATAACCTTTCATTGACACCTTATTTTGTTTTGGCGTATACTGTTTGGATGAGTAGAATATTTGGAATAAAATTTTATGATACGGAAATGCTGCAGTTGAAGATTTATGCAACATTTAATTTGATTCTTTGTCTGTTATTTTTATGTAATACTACAGTCTCGTTCCATTAGTTAAGAAGGTCAGCGAGCCACGAGTTGTGGAGATGACAAATAAGCTTTGTGAGAAATTGCTAAAGGACAAGGATCATCGTGATATTGCAAGCATAGCTTTGAAGACTATTATTGCTGAAATTTCCACTCAGTCTCTTGCCCAGTCTATTCTTCTATCTATTTTGCCGCAGTTGGTTAAAGGAATTACTGATCCAGTGAGTTAGTAGATCTTATCCTTTTCACTTTATCATAGATATTTTTTCCCTTTTGGGTACATACTCTTTCTATTATTTAATAAGTTAAGTTCTGTCTACTAACTTGGAAATGAAGTAACTAACGAGATTGATGATTTGCACATGCATTCAACAAATTCACATCCATGGTGACCGTAGTGATGTTTGAAATTTGTAAGTAGCCACACTTTGGAATGTGTGAAGGCTGTCTAAACAATGAAAAGGTTTTATAAGTTTGCAATTTTACAATGACAAAGAATTGATGTGTGTTTATCTTGGTATTTTTATTTTGTTTTTAGCAACTTTGTTAGTAGAAGGGCAATTGGTTCTGCAGGCTGTGTGTGAACTGGAATAACAGAATGAAAATTGGGGTAATACCTGAAAGGGAAAGGAAATGAATGATTTATATCCCTTAGTTAATTGATATGTGATCTTGTTTGAATAAAGGCTCATAAACTAGTGATTAATTCAATAAAAGGGTTGTGCTATCTTTCATTTCCTCTGTTGTCATCTGTTGTCATTTGTTATTCCATTTTTGCTTTTACTATTCCTAGATGCCAACTTTTGGTGTTTATTTCTGATTTATTGTGCTGTAATCCCAGGGAATGAACCATGAGATCAAATGTGAATGTCTTGATAACTTATGTGATGTTCTTCATAAGTTTGGCAATTTAATGGCAACTGATCATGAGCTGCTATTAAGTGCTCTCTTGTCTCAGTTGAGCTACAATCAAGCCAGCGTGAGGAAGAAAACTGTGTCATGCATTGGTAAGATTCACTGGTTCTTTTGCACTCACTAAGCCCATAATACTAGTTCAAGAGGGTCATGTGGTTGATCACATCAACGTTATTTTGCTTTGCCTGAAACAAGTACAAGTTGTTTTGAAGATCTAAACACAAATAGTCTGTTTATACTTTTTTGGGTTCTTGTTATTTATTTCTGAAATCTAAAAGTTGTCCTAGATTGTAATTAATCATCTTTTCCAAAGAAACATGTACACAATACCATGTATTGAGAAACCTGTTCATTCTTGTGGAAGTTGGTGTTGGCAAGTCTATAATGAAATAGTAGATTAAACTGTACAAATTGTTTTGCCTTCAGCTTCCCTTGCATCGAGCTTGTCAGATGATCTGTTAGCAAAGGCAACCACTGAAGTTGTCCAGAAATTGAGAAATAAAGGCACAAAATCAGAAATGACTCGAACAAATATTCAGATGATTGGTGCTTTAAGGTGAGCTTTGTGGGTTTTAATGAAATGCCTTTGGTTCCATTTCCCCATTTATAGCTGGGGTAATAAAGGCTGATGTTATTCACTTTCAAGTGGGGAGTAATGTATGGCCAAAAGAAGTGGGGTAGATGACTATAACCATGGATATACAAGTATCTGATTTTAGTCATAGAGTAACTTACTTTTGGTAACTAGTTTATATCACTGTGTGCAGTCGTGCTGTTGGATATCGTTTTGGACCCCATCTTGCTGACACTGTCCCAGTGTTAATTAATTACTGCACAAGTGCATCAGAGAATGACGAGGAGCTTCGTGAATACAGCTTGCAGGTACTGTATGTTTGTTCTGTATTGTTTTTAGATTTTTCTGTTTATTTCCAGGACTATATAAAAGGTGTGTTATGTATATACCGATTTTATTATACCTATATTTATAAATTTGGTTTATGCTCATATATGCTTTTGACTGCAGGCATTAGAGAGTTTTCTGCTTAGGTGCCCCAGGGACATTTCTCCGTATTGTGATGAAATTCTTCATCTTAACTTGGAATATCTAAGTTATGACCCAAACTTCACGGATAACATGGAAGAAGATACTGATGATGAAACTCATGAGGAGGAGGAAGATGAGTATGTGTTCACTATGTTTGATGTTATAATTGATTCATAGTCACAGACCCAGAGGTATTCAATAAAATTTCTAGTTATTCTGTCTTCTTTATTATGTTATAGTGGGAGTGCGACAGAATATACAGATGATGAAGATGTCAGCTGGAAAGTTCGTAGAGCAGCAGCTAAATGCTTATCAGCATTAATTGTATCACGTCCTGAGATGCTATCAAAGCTGTATGGGGAGGTATCTTTGAAATAGCTCTTCAATTATGTTTTTTTTTTTTTTTTTTCACATGATATTATTAATATGTGGGTTTCTGCTTTTCTGCAGGCTTGTCCGAAATTAATTGACAGATTTAAAGAGAGGGAGGAAAATGTCAAGGTAAGCCAGAATGAACATCTGTTAGTTTTCCATTGAGCTTCATGGGGTTGATTATCTGATAATATTTCTCTGCAGATGGACATTTTCAATACATTCACTGAACTGTTGCAGCAAACTGGAAATGTTACAAAAGGACAAAATGACATAAATGAACAGAGGTAACTTAGTTGTACACTTGTGCGTGATCCTATTGTCAAATCACACGCAGTTTGTTTTCGTTCTTACCTCCTATCTAGCATTTTCTTAGATGAGTATGGTTTTAGAAATTTTAGATTCTTAACTAGGGAATTGATTATTATAAATGTTTTGTGTATAGTTCTCATAACTGCTTTCTTTTACTCTATGATCATCTTCCACAACTTTAGAGAGATTGCTCTGTCAGCAACTCCTTGGGATTTCTATTTCTTTTTCCCCATTGCTTGAGTTGCATGGTTTTTCTCGTTATCAAGAATACATGATGTGATATTGGCTAAATTATTGGCATATTTTGCAGTCCAAGGTGGCTACTGAAGCAAGAAGTGCCAAAGATCATCAGATCTATAAATAGGCAGCTACGTGAGAAATCTATCAAGACAAAGGTTGGAATATCTGATGCCCCTATCGGATGGGTTCATTATGGACATATTATGAACTATATAACATTGATCTATTTGCAGGTTGGTGCGTTTTCCGTTTTGAAAGAACTTGTGGTGGTCTTGCCAGATTGCCTGGCGGATCACATTGGCTCACTCATTCCCGGAATTGAAAAGGCATTAAATGTAAGTACTATTCTCTCAAACTGGAAGTTTATTCCCCATTAGTTTAATATAAGTTTCTCTAATGCTGATATTTGTTCTCTTTAATTTTCTTTCTAGGATAAGTCCTCTACCTCCAATTTGAAGATTGAAGCTCTTATATTTACAAGATTGGTCTTGGCATCGCATTATCCTTCTGTTTTCCATCCTTACATCAAGGTAAGTACAGTAATTCTTACGTTTATGCTATGCTATGAATATGCTGATATGATACAGATTTTTTTTTTATTGAAATATATTGCAGTTAATTACATTATGATAGTGAGAAATAGACCACAAGGTGCATTTTGTGTAGGTACGGTGACGGTATAATTTATAAACTGATATTATTGCAGGCTCTTTCTAGTCCTGTTTTATCTGCTGTGGGGGAGCGTTATTACAAAGTCACAGCTGAGGCATTAAGAGTGTGTGGGGAACTTGTCCGTGTGGTTCGCCCAAATATTGAGGTGAATTAATTGGCACCCTTAGGCACTTTAGGCTTGATGCATTGTCAAACCACTTTGCTTAAATTATTTGGCTTTTTTCATGTAGGGAGTTGGTTTTGACTTCAAACCTTACGTTCATCCAATATATAATGCCATAATGTCACGCTTGACAAACCAAGATCAAGATCAGGTCAGTAAAATTCCTCTTAGATTGTACTTTACGAATAATTTGTCTTAAATGGTTATGTCTGTATTGTTGCTCATGTCCATTCTTATTCAGGAGGTCAAGGAATGTGCTATATCTTGCATGGGTCTAGTTGTGTCAACATTTGGGGATAACCTTGATGTTGAGTTACCTGTATGCCTTCCTGTGCTTGTTGATCGAATGGGAAACGAGATTACTCGACTTACAGCTGTGAAGGTAATTCTGCGCATGTTCATTTTTTTTGGGCTTTCTGTTCTTGAGGCATACACACGGGACTCTCTATTTCAATGTTTATGTGTTTAGTTTTTAAGGTCTTAAGTGCTTTGGTTTCCAGGCATTTGCCGTCATTGCCGCTTCTCCGCTGAAAATAGATCTGTCCTGTGTGTTGGAGCAAGTGATTGCGGAGTTGACTGCATTCCTAAGGAAGGTGCGGTAATTTGCTTAATTTGATGTTGAATTGATACTTTGTACAAATATTTTTTCTTACATTTGTCTTAGAACCCCTCAAACATGTATGTAATTTTTTCTAACATTCTTTGCCTTTGTGGAAATCAGGCTAATCGGCCTTTAAGACAGGCAACATTGGGGACCTTGAATTCCCTAATTGTTGCTTACGGCGACAAAATTGGTTCAGCAGCTTATGAAGTTATTATTGTAGAGCTTGCTACACTGATAAGGTTCTGTTGCTGCTTCACCATTTTTTTTCATTTGTTCTTTCCATAGTATTGTCTGATCAGTAGCTGGGTGCTTTAGTTTCTGAACCCTAATTTCCTGTCAATACCCCTTTACAGTGATTCAGACTTGCATATGACGGCCCTTGCCCTGGAACTCTGCTGCACCTTGATGGCTGACAGGTCAAGCCCAGTTGTTGGTTTGGCTGTTAGAAGCAAAGTTCTTCCGCAAGCACTAACATTAATTAGAAGCTCATTGCTGCAGGGGCAAGCCCTTTCGGTAAAAAATTTCTATCTAGCGGGTGTTTTGTTATGATATTGAAACATTGCACATGTTTGAGAACATACTTTGTTGAATAATGCAGGCTTTGCAAAACTTTTTTGCTTCCTTGGTGTATTCTGCAAATACAAGTTTTGATGCCTTGCTAGACTCTCTTCTTTTGAGTGCTAAACCATCTCCTCAGTTGGGTGGGGTTGCAAAGCAAGCTTTGTATTCAATAGCTCAATGTGTGGCCGTCCTTTGCCTTGCTGCTGGTGACAAGCAATGTTCATCTACCGTGAAAATGCTCACTGAAATTCTCAAAGATGACAGCACTACAAATTCAGTAAGTCGTCGTGTTCGGAAAAAAGATGAAATCAACTCAATTATGGTTATATTCACAGATGACAGTGATTTGGTGGTGTACGCAAACTGTCATTGTAAAGTTGGGGTAGTCTAATAGATTTTTGATAAGTTATTATTATTTGGTCATCTTTAAAGGTGGCAATGGTTTGGTGATTGATTGTAGAGATTATTATAAATATTTAGGTGGTTTGGGGTAGAATGATGGGATTTAGTGGATTTATTAGTATTATTTATTGCTATAAACTATTTTTGAGCCCAGTATAATTGCTTTCTTTTTATTATGATATAGGCTAAGCAGCACCTTGCTTTGCTGTGTCTCGGGGAGATTGGGAGGCGGAAAAATCTAGGCTCCCACGACCATATAGAGAATATTGTCATTGAGTCCTTTCAATCTCCTTTCGAAGAGATTAAATCTGCAGCCTCCTATGCTCTTGGCAATATTGCTGTTGGTAACCTACTCAAGTATTTGCCTTTTATATTGGACCAGATTGACAATCAGCAGAAAAAACAGTACCTCTTGCTTCATTCTCTGAAGGAGGTGCATTCTTCTGAACTTTAAGAGGCTGATTTTGTTACCTGTATTGTCTGTTTTGTCATATTTAAGTTTGTATTCATCCATTTTCCAGGTCATAGTAAGGCAATCTGTAGATAAAGCAGAGTTTCCAGATTCCAGTGTTGAGAAGATACTTAATTTACTTTTTAATTACTGTGAAAGCGAGGAAGAGGGTGTTCGCAACGTTGTAGCTGAGTGTCTTGGTAAAATAGCACTTATTGAACCCACAAAACTTGTTCCTGCACTGAAGGTATTTTATCAAATGACCCTGTGCCTTCTGCCTAAGCTTTGTTATTAAAATATTTGATGGGTTACACTTTCATATCTGTGTTTTCTAATCCTAAGTTTCTATAGGTACGAACAACCAGTCCAGCTGCTTTCACAAGAGCTACTGTTGTCATTGCAGTTAAATATTCGATAGTTGAGAGGCCGGAGAGGATAGATGAGATATTGTATCCTGAAATTGCATCATTCCTGATGCTTATTAAGGATCATGACCGGGTTAGTCTTAGATTTCTGATGCTTGATAAACTAAATAAAGTGCTTTGGGTTTTAAACCATCTTTCAGTTTTTCGTTTCCCTTGATTGTTTCTGTTTTTCAATATTGTGTTAGCTGTTATGTTCTCGGTTGGTTTGGACTTTTAGATTTTTTGGTGACTGATGTGGTATGGTCTAATGCAGCATGTGAGGCGTGCGGCTGTGTTGGTTTTAAGTACATTTGCCCACAATAAGCCAAATCTGATCAAGGGGCTCCTGCCAGAGTTGTTGCCGCTTCTTTATGATCAAACTGTAATCAAGGTTGGTTGACTGTTCTGAACTTATCCCTCTGTTATGTGGTTGCTAGACTGCCTTTGCAGAATAGAGGACATTCATGCTATTACTATTCTTCTAAAAAAAAAATGCTATTACTACATTTATAGCATTATTATCTGTCTTACGTAGAAGTCCGAGTTACAGCTGTCACTGGATTTGTATCAGTTGATCTTGAATGCTCCATATTATATGCAACACCGCCATCTATCATTCATTCATTTGTTTTACTTAGCCATGGGTTGATCTCTTATTTAGCTTGAAAATCCTGGATGCAGAAAGAATTGATCAGGACAGTTGATCTCGGCCCTTTTAAGCACATTGTAGATGATGGACTTGAGTTAAGGAAGGCTGCATTTGAATGTGTGGACACATTGCTGGATAGTTGTCTTGATCAAGTGAACCCTTCGTCTTTTATTGTTCCTTATCTTAGATCTGGTCTGGATGGTGAGTTTCGTTTTTGTTCATGCATATTTGAAGATGGATGGTTAGCAGGTGGTGCTTATTAAATTTATTACCTTGTAAACTGAATTGGATTCAATTTTCCAGATCATTATGATGTTAAGATGCCTTGCCATCTTATCCTCTCAAAGCTTGCCGACAAGTGTCCATCTGCTGTACTGGCAGGTCAGTTAATTTACTGATTTTTCTTTCCTAAGATTCAGAAGTTACGGCGTTAATTTGCAATCTAAAATTTTCTATCCTTCAGTGCTGGACTCGTTGGTGGATCCTCTCCAAAAAACTATCAACTTTAAGCCAAAGCAAGATGCTGTCAAGCAAGAAGTAGACCGCAATGAAGACATGATTCGCAGCGCTCTGAGAGCTATTGCATCCTTGCATCGTATAAGGTTTTGCCCCTGCTTTATATCCTAGCCCCCCTGTACATTCTGCACAAAATTCATGTTTCTTCTCCTTCTCCTTTCCGTACAGTATTTTGCTTTCCTTGCTCTGTGTGCATGGCATTCGTTTTGACATTGAATGAACCGTCTAATCCTTTGTTATACGTTGTTATCCTGCAGCGGTGGAGATTGCAGCCTTAAGTTCAAGAACCTTATGAATGAAATTTTAAAATCTCAAACGCTCGGTGACAAGTATGTTTCTATCCGAAATGAATGACCTGCCTGTCTTGTTGTAGTCCACAACGAATGAAAGAAAGGAGATTACATCTCTCTTGTTATCGGACATCTGCGGGCTTAAGAAGCTTTTCTGCGGCAGAACACAAGAAACAGATGGAGGCCATATGAACATGTTCTCTTATCGTAGAAACGCCGGTTATGGTTCTTGTATAGGTTTGAAGTAATTGCGTGGTTTTTAGCTTGTGCAACCGTATTTTTGTTGCGCGATCTCAGGATCAGTACCGTCCCCTCCCGAACTCTTCTATTCACCTGGTTAGGATCAAAATCGCCGAATTTTGTTTTCCGGTATGTTGGAGGAAGCAAGTTTACTACAGAAAACGCATGTATTGGTGTGGAATCTCTAAATTGTTATTGGAAGTTAAAATTTTCAAATTTATGTTACAATTCACTTATTTTGATGATAAGTAAACTTACGGTTAACAAAATATGGTTTAAATTGTTGGTCTCTCTAGCATTAACTCATGTTTAATTGTGTTCGTGGTGTGTCACGCTAAGCAGCCCGGCCCCAAGTTGCATGGTTAACATATGCTCTTGTTTGAAGCCGTTTTCGTATACCCATATAAGAACGGAGGTGCCGTCTCTAGACGTATTAATCTTAGAAAAACTAACAAAAAGAGTTTGAAAATTTAGAATTTTAACGAAAATAATAAAAAGGTGTTGTAAGCGAATAGTACCATGATTGAGTTTTTAAAGTAAAAATGTGGTTTTTCGTTAAAGTGAATCGTACCGAGAGCTTTTGCGTTAAAGTTCCCGTTAATCTTCTATTGGAATGAGAATTGATATAGCACACATTTTATTAGGTTCTCACACATTTATGTTTAATCATGACCGTTGTTTTTGTTTAATTTATTCAATTCGACGATGTCCTAAAATAAATATGTAGCAAACATCTGTTGGACATAGTATGCCATTACGACTGTATCTTGGTGGTTGCAATAATCTACAAGAAGCCAAAGCAAAATGCTTTCACACAAGAAGTAGACTACAACGAAGAGAGAAGCTCATATTTAATAAGGGTACTAAAAGCAAGACATTTGTAGCTTTAGTCCATTCGTTTTCGTTCGAGGTCTTATATTTATTTCTCCGAAGGTAATCCAAGTTCTCTCTCATTTCATCTTAACCATAAACAATAACCTAAGTCGACACTTTATTGCACCAAATGAACCAAATAAAAGGGAAAAACTCATCATCATAATTGGTTGAAATCCGCAAACTGGTTTTCTATGCCTTGGGTGTTGAAGAGTACAAAAAATCTTACATCGAAAAATCCACAAAACTTTTTATGACACTTAATTCTTTTGTGATAAAACTCTCGTTTTCGTACAATTTAGATAGTGAGAAGATTTAGGCCTGATTTGGTACTGAGGTGATTCTGAAAAAAGTGAGTATAAAAAAAAAGTTGTATGTTTGGTAAACATTCAGCTTCAGCTTTTTTTTCACAGTTTTTTGTGAAAAAAGCCAAAAACACAAAGCTGCAAAACCCAACTTTGAAAAATCGGTTTTTTTTTTTTCACATATGTTTTACATAAAAGTTTACCAAACACTATAATACTATTTTTTTTCAAAAGCACTTTTACAAAAAAGTTTACCAAACACGCTGCTGCTTTATTTCATAGCTGCTTAGTCTCACAGCACAGCAGAAACAATTTTTTTTCAAAGCACAACAATACCAAACCAATCCTTAATTCTCACGCAATTTCAATGAAATTAGTAGTCAATTGTGGCCCGTTTCTTTAAAAGGAACTTTAACGAAAAGCTCTGGTATTGTTCACTTTAACGAAAAATCACATTTTTACACTAAAAAGTCAATCCTGATACTGTTCACTTTACCCTTTATTTTGTCCTTATTGCTAAAATTCAAAAATTTCAAACCATTTTCATTAGTTTTCCTTAACCAATGATATTAGATGATCTCATTGTCAAACTAACATCTTGAAGGACCACAAGTGCATCAAAATTGTAACACATCCGCATACATGTGCACGTGAAGCCCTTGCAACGATTGGGCAAAACGAAAATGGCACGTGACAGAGTCCTGTTTTAGTATGAAGAAGATGAAACGATTGGTCATCTTTCTTGCTTCCCATGTGACCATATCCCTAAATAGAACTACTCAAAGTAATTAAACGATTGGGAAGAGTGTCACAGTTTTCACCCACCCTGGTTCCCTACCTTCCTCGGAAACTGCTAAAATTGTACACAACTAGCACTCCATGGGGATGATGAGGTTTCCTATTTAATCAACTCTTTTGTTTACTTGGGTTACTACTTTTGTCATACGAACTAGTTCTAAATCCTTATATTAAGATTTTAGAGAAAGACGGCACGCTATTGATCCCAACAACACGCTACTGATCTCAACGACACGCTACTAATCTCAACGACACGCTACTAATCTTAACGACTGTCTGTCCTCAACTTAAGGTAGGGAATTTTACGCAAAATAGTATGTATTGTACTTTGTTTTGTTAGGTTTCCGACGTGATACGGTCTTTTAATGCACAGGCACAGGTAGCATTCATGGAGGAACTGTATAGGACAGTTGGAGCGGGCAGATCAGTCTCCTTTAAAACCCAGCAATACCAATCAACTAACACAGTGAGTTTATTGGCTTGAAAAGAGAATTAAAAAAAGGACGATCACAAGCTAATAAGGCTCTCTGTTTTGCGAGAATCGGGGTGAAAATTTGAGTTTATTTCAACTTAATTAATCTTTTTTCTGTTGCTAATTATTTGGTGTGCAATGTACGTGGAGATTCCACACAGCCCAATTCATGCCATGGAGTTTCTCTGTCGCTCGTGGAGTTCGTCTGCCTATAACTTTCAACAGATGTTCACATCAACTGTAAGAAGCTATACCGCTTTAATAAATCAATCGAATCAACAGACATCGTTCGCTTATGTGATTTTTACATTTTTTCCTCTGCATTCGTCTCTTAATTCTCATTTGATTTATTTAATCCGGGAAACGAGGGAGGAGTACAGGGGAAGAAAATGAGAATGCAAACATCACTTCTAGGCGGAACGCGAAGTTGGCTATACTCTAGTGTATTTTACCAAGATGATTGCTTAATTTGCAGGACGTGTCTCCTTCACATGACGACTGGAGTTCAGAGAAACAAGACGAAAAGCTGGACGATAAGTTTAGCTCAGGGGAATCCGAAGATACAAAACTGGCGATAGAAGAAGTTATAAATGAGTTTCCACTTCAGAGAAGAAGCAGTATGTTCAGCAGGGGATCATGGTGGGGAAGCAAATCTTTAACCAGCTTACTTAGACAGCAGAGACTGAAGAAGAAAGAAGATATCCGGCTTCACACAGCTAGCGTTCACGCAGCGCTCTCTGTCACAAGCTTGGCTGCTGCGATTGCCAGTGTTGCAGCTTCCAAGAGCGGCATAGAATCAGTAGAAGTCGGTGAAGATGGCAACCCCATCATCATAGGCAACATTGTTGCTTCTGCGGCAGCTCTGGTTACTGCAGTATGTGCCGAAGCTGCAGAGTCGTTGGGTGCGCACACCACTCATGTTTCTTCTGCCATCAACTCAGGCTTGGCTATCCAGACCACCGGCGACATGATCACACTCACAGCTGCTGCTGCAACAAGTAATTCCCAATCCATCGAATGTTTCCTTCGCCAGAATCTGCATAAAAACATGGGTTTAACTTGACGAAATGATCCCTCGCAGGTTTAAGAGGAGCTGCAGCACTCAAAGCAAGAGCCATCCCGGATGCCTACTTTCCAAAAAACCGAAATTTGCTGGAAGTAAAAGCTGAACTATCAGTTGTCACTCCTTCTGGTAAGAATATACGGGACACATTTTTCAACCCCGTTGCTGTTATAAGAACAAAAAGAAGATAAATTCTTGTTTGCTGAAGCAGGAAGCAGAAGATACGGGTTGGCGGCCATATACTCGAAGCACAGTCAGCTCATTCTGAGCATCCAAAAGAAGCATCTGGGATTCTTAGCAACAAGAAAGGAGTGTAAGATCAAAGGCTTCTGATTTTCGTTTCGTTTCGTTTTGTTTACAGTGAACTTACAGTTTCCTTACGATATTTCCAGATAAGATTTTGCGTGTGATGGAGGGATACCAGGAAGCTCAGGGTCACGGCAACTTTTCGATCTGCCTAAGGAGCAACAATGGAGATATCAAGCTCTTGTTTAAAGATGAAAACCAAACATTGGCCTGGACATCAAGCATTTCTAATCTCTTACAGATGCATAGTTGATGTTTGGCAAACCTGTAAAGGCTACAGTTTCTAATATTCAAACTCATCCCTTAACGACGGTGTTTCTTGCACACTGTCATTTGTATTGTTCTGAAGACCGTTCCATGGAACGAGACATTCTCCACAATAACAAGAAACTGCAACGAGTGCAGTTGCTTTGAGTTTCCGATATACAGCGAGATATCTTGCAAAATAACAGGACAATTTGTCTGTTCTCTAGATTAAAGCTACCAGAAGCACCAAAAAGGCCACGTTTTTTGTTTTCTCAACATTCCTAGTAGAGAAAAAGATGTATACATTGGCATGAATGCACAGTTCTTACAAGACATTCAAAAACACACGAGGCACAATTTACACACACACGAAAGCAAAGAACAAGACTTTATATCGAAATAAATGGAAAGTAAAAACTCTTACGCTTTTCTCATTACTCTATGTATGTAATCTAAAAGTCCACCATGCGCGATCATCCCCCACATCTCGAGTTTCTCTTCATTTCTCCTCAAATTCAACATCAATAATCTCCGGCTCTGACTTTGACGAAGAAGGGCCTCCTCTACCGTCTCTTGAAGAGAAGTCAGATTTTGGCTGCCACACGGTGTTTCCACAGCTTCCACAACGGATTACTTGGTTCTTGTAACCAACAAATTGCCTCTTACAAGCCGGACAAGCGCCCTGTCCAAATTTCGCACAACAAACACATTTAGCCATTCGGATAGCCATCCGATCCGATTGATTGCGTTACAACGTTAAAATTACCATACAACTCACTCGATTTAGTTGCAGACTAGCAGATCACTAACATTAACAAAAACATGCCACCATTAATACCTTAATAACAAGGTTGTTGGCGGCTCCTATGAGAAGAGGAGCGGCAAATGGAAGCACCCACGTAGCGAAAAACAATATCCGAAAAAGCCATCCGGATAATGCAAACCACAGGAAGAAAATGGTCTTCAAAATCATTCAAAAACATGAAACGAAAACGCGAATTAGTCGAAGACTAAATGATCAACAAGAAAGACAGAACCTTTACATAATTTCGGAATGTAAGCTCATACGCTTACCGCAAAGCTTCTTCCCAACGGGGTCTCCAAGGAGTCAGAAAGCTGCTTCCTGTACTGCAAGGTTGCCAAACACCAACGAAACCAGAAAATTCAGCAAACGTAACGACATGCGCATACATGTATACCGAAAGAAAAAGAGTAAGAGCGGGAGAAGAACAAACCCTAGGCCAATTTCTGCTGAAATCCATGCTAAAAGCGCGCCAGCGCGTGCCAATCTCGAGTTCCCTATCCATTTCTCTAGCGCGAGCGGCGGCTGAGCGAGCGATTGTGTCGAAGCGGCGGGAGAGGGCGTACTGACGGTCGAGGCGTTCGGCGGTCTTCTTCGCCTCGAAAAGGAACCGCTCGAATCCGTCGTTGGCGCTCCGCCACGCGTCCTTCGCGAAGCTTCCGATGTCGCTACGCTGGAACGCCTGGATGTTCGGCACCTGGCAGTGGCGGGGGCCTCTTCCGCCTATGGGCCTTCTCGCCCTCCACGGAAGCGGTACCGCTGCTTGCGGGCACCGAAGCGTTGTCGCCATTAGAGATGAGAGAGAGAGGGAGAGAGGAGAACTCCAGCTGGACTGATACTGATAGAGAGAGCACTTCAACTACGGAGTTAACGACATGTCGTTTGTGATAACAAGCAACAAAACGCACGACGTGTCATTTATATCTTTCTCTTCCTCTTCGCGTACTTAAGGTCATCTCCAACCAACTCAATCAAAGGTTTAAAAATAGATCGGAATGACATGAAAATCATCTTCAATTGAGGATTAGGCCAAAGAGCTTGTAGGCCCCACCAGATCAAAACCCCCAAATCAGGCCAGCAAGCTGACCATTTCCAGCTAGCTAACCAACCATCAAGCGCTAGAATGTTAAGCTTGACATTTTGCCAACCCCCAATGGCAGAATGTCAAACTTGATATTTTGCCACCCCTCCAGCTCCAAAATGTCAAGCTTGACACTTTACCATCCCTCCAACTAACCAATTTGAATGTTTTTTTTTTGGACGAATTAAAAAAAAAATCTAATTTTTTTTATAAATACCTATATTATTCCTACAACATTGAAAACTGAAGATAAAAAATGTCACGTAAATAAGAATTATATTTAAAATTTGCACAACCAATTACATTTCAACATATAAGACTCAAAATCATATCCGAAAAATTATTAAAATTACATAAAAACAAGATATCTGGATTATAGGGCTAAAGGGAGGGTCTTTTGACCCTCCTTCTCTTGCAGATGCCCTAACTTAACCGTGAGATTGAAACTTTGGCGGGTAGAGCTAGGGCACAGGACAGTTCGTCCAGCTGATGCAAAATCGAAACGATTTTTGCAGTTTGGTCCTCGAAATCTCTCTTGATTTTCCATGGAGGTCCCAATGGATGAGCCGCCGGCTGTTTTTCTCGATCGGACCTCACGCGCCACCAGAGGGAAGAGGTAATTAAATTAACCGATTCATTCGAGAAGTATCGAGATTTTGGACTCGATTTTTTAGAATTTAACTTTTTTTATGATTTTTCAGGATGACTAAGTTACTCGATGAGGAAATCGAAGAGGATGAGATGTTCTGGAATCAGGAGGCTCTCAAAGAGGTGAAAAAATAAATAATATATTTTAAATTTGTTCTAATTTGATATATTTTTCGGTTATTTTTGTTGTATTTTTAGTTTATGTTATGAATGAAAATTGTGGTAGGATGAAGATGATGGAAACTATGAAGCAGAGCCTGAGGTTGCTGACGAGTTTGATAGTGATTTCGACGAAGATGTGAGGTCTTTTTTTGTTTTTTTGTTTTTTTTTGGATTGTTCACTTTAAATGTTAGTATTGTACTAGTTGGATCTTTCTTAGAGTTGCTTAATTTGTTGTTAGGAGCCAGACCCCGACGAAGGAGCGGAAAACAACGACGCAGATGAGAGGTGTGTTGAGTTTTGTTTGCACAAATGACATTTAGATTTCTTTTACTCGGACTTGATTGTGTTTGGTAACTCCGCCTATGTCTTACATGGCCGGTCCCAAGCCCGGATAAAGGAGGAGGGGGAGGGCGTCAGGTAGTCGACAGCCGGCACTCCATGATCACGTCGAATCCTTATGAAAATGAATCCAGAACAAAATCGCGCTAAAGCTAGGGCGTCATCCGTAAGTGGCGCGCTGTGTGGCCCGAGCACAGTGATAAGTGAGCAAGGGTCGCTGTATCTCCATCGGCACCCGGATGCAGTGTTAAATGAGTAAGGGGGCCATAGAAACTTCTTTTCGAACGACTCCACTCAAAGTTGTTTGGGAGCATATGCTCCTATCAACTTTACCCGGGACACACAAAAGAAGTACTTTGATCCTATTAGACGGGGGAGGGTGAAGAAGCTAGGACAGAAGGGTAGAGTTCAAGAGAGCAAAATGCGTTTAGGAACGTGGAATATAGGAACCTTAACGGGAAAATCTATGGAAGTAGTGGAAGTTATGGTGAGGAGAAGGATAAATATTATGTGCCTACAAGAAACTAAGTGGGTTGGTAGTAAGGCAAAGGATCTAGAAAACTCAGGGTTTAAACTTTGGTATTCGGGCACAAATAGAACGAGAAACGGTGTTGGCATCATCGTGGACAAGACCTTGGTACAAGATGTTGTAGATGTCAAGAGGGTAGGAGATATAGAATCATGGCAATCAAGATTGTAATAGGACAAGAACTTATCAATGTGATTAGTGCGTACGCACCTCAAGTAGGGTTGGATACGAGTTCGAAGGAGAAATTTTGGGAAGATCTTGGAGACTTGGTGCAAGGAATTGCTCAGACGGAGAAGTTATTTATAGGAGGAGATTTAAATGGACACGTGGGCAGGGAGACAGGCAACTATGGAGGTTTTCATGGTGGCCATGGTTTTGGGGAGAGAAACGAGGATGGGGAAGCTATCTTGGATTTTGCAATGGCATATGATCTCTTCTTCTTAGCCAACACCTTCTTTAAGAAGAGAGAAGAACATGTGATCACCTACAAGAGTGGGTCGTCAAAAACACAAATAGATTTTCTTCTAATGAGGAAAGGGGATCGTATAACTTGTAAGGATTGCAAAGTTATACCAGGAGAGAGCGTGGCTAATCAACATCGCTTGTTGGTGATGGATGTACATATCAAAAAGAGTAAGACAAAAGAACAAGACTTGGAAGTGCCCAAGGACTAGATGGTGGAATCTAAAAGAAGAAAAAACAAGCCATTTTCAAAGAGAAGGTAATCACCCAATGTGTGTGGGATAGAGAGGGGGAAGCTAGCCAAATGTGGGATTCCATGGCTAGTTGTATCCGAAAAGTAGCAAAAGAGGTATTAGGAGAGTCCAAGGGCTTTGCCCCACACCAAAAGGAATCTTGGTGGTGGAATGAGGAGGTACAAACAAAGGTGAAGGCTAAGAAGGAATGTTGTAAAGCCTTATACAAGGAGAGGACCGATGAAAATGGTGAAAGGTATAGAAAAGCGAAGCAAGAGGCGAAGAAAGCTGTCAGAGAAGCTAAGTTAGCGGCTTACGACGATATGTATAAACGACTAGATACCAAAGAAGGAGAGTTGGATATCTATAAACTAGCTAGAGCAAGGAAAAGAAGACAAGGGACCTAAACCAAGTGAGGTGCATCAAGGATGAGGATGGAAAGGTTCTTGCTACAGAGAACGCGGTTAAAGACAGATGGAGAGGTTATTTTCATAATCTTTTCAATGAAGGACATGAAAGGAGTGCTTCTTTAGGGGAGTTGAGTAACTCAGAAGAGTGTAGAAACTACTCCTTTTATCGTCGAATCCGGAAGGAAGAAGTGGTTGTAGCTTTGAAGAAGATGAAGCATAGAAAAGCAATAGGCCCAGAGACGATATACCAATCGAAGTGTGGAAAGTTTTGGGAGAGACAGGTATAACATGGCTCACTGACCTTTTCAATAGGATTTTGAAAACGAAGAAGATGCCAAATGAGTGGCGAACGAGCACTTTGGTGCCTATCTACAAGAATAAGGGCGACGTACAAAATTGCATGAACTATAGGGGTATTAAGCTAATGAGTCATACAATGAAGCTCTGGGAGAGAGTCATTGAGCATAGATTGAGGCAAGAGACACGGGTTTCGGACAACCAATTCGGGTTCATGCCAGGGCGCGCTCAACCATGGAGGCAATCTATCTCTTACGAAGATTGATGGAAAGATATAGAGATGGGAAAAAGGATTTACACATGGTCTTTATAGATTTGGAAAAAGCGTATGATAGGGTCCCAAGAGACATTCTTTGGAGGATTTTAGAGAAGAAAGGAGTACGAGTAGCATATATCCAAGCTATAAAGGATATGT